TATACTTCCAGATTGATTGGTTTCGGATTCTGCGGATATAATCACAATACTGATGTTTCATTATACAACTCACATCATACAATATACATGTATGTGACTGGCTACACGTCATAAAAATCGTTAACATACATTTACAATTTAAAATTACTTTTAAGCAACTAAAGTCACAGACGATAAGTCGAAACGATACTAACGTAAATTGGGTATCACTTTTGTTGCAGAAGAGCTATCCTGACGAATCCAGACCTGCTGTCCAGCACGCCGTGGTCTCGGTTGCTGGAGAACGATTTCTGGGGCACGCCCCTGAACGATCGAGGTTCGCACGGTAGTTACAGGCCTCTCTGCGTGGCAACCTTTCGTCTGAATCATCTGTTGGGTGGCCTGGAGCCGTGGGGCTATCACCTGGTGAACGTTGCGTTGCACGCCGCTTGCACGGTGCTTGTGGTCAGAGTTGCCAGAAAGGTAAATCGCCGCGTCACTCGCCACTCGATAATAACGTTAATTAAACGGGCGAGCTCGTTGAAATTTATCGGTTATTCAAACAAGAAACTAATTCGGAGCACGATAAAAGAGAGAGAGAGAGAGAAGGAGTGAAAGAGAGGGGAGGATCATAGGCTCGGAGAATTTGACTGGTCGAATCTGCTTTTCGATTAAAGCTCGGGACAAGCGTGCGCTCATTCGTCGCCTCGCCTCACCTCGCGTCGCGTCGCATCGGTCAGATTTTACGTCAGAGCGGTAGAAAACGAGATAATAGTGACACCTGTAGAGCGTACGTCACGCGGACTTGATAATACCAGACGTTATGGCGACTGGTTGGAAATAAAATTTTACCAGTCCATTTAATTCCGGAATATTACGTTAATAATCGCGCGGCAACCGCGCTCGCTCCACTCGTTTCTCCTCCCTTGATGGCCACGCGTGTCACCTGCCACGGTTATCGTAATGGAAATAGGATTACCAGGGGAAATCCGTTGTTTCGTTTCAAGAGCCTCCGTCCCCGTGCTTTCAGCTTTTTCAATCCCGCTTCGAATAACGTCCGTAACGGCCAGAGCCATTGTCGTTCTGCGGATAAGTGCAATCGGTTTTCATCTTGCCACACTCTCGTCGAGTCACGTTCTGACGAAAATATGAAACACACTATGAAACAGTTGAACAGTCATTCACCCGTCATCGCGCGCTATTAATATTCGAACGAGTTTTCTGCTTCTCGACGAGTTTTTCATTCGAAAAACCCGTGGAAATTGAGGAGTCCAGCGCAAGAAGAGAATGCTGTGCAAATGCTGTGTAACAGCGGCGGTACCATTGTAACAATGGCGATATTCAGTTAATTCGATAAACAAAACACTCAATGAGAGAGAGTCGTATCGACACGTATCGAAATTTTGGGTACTTCGGTATCGGATATCGATACAGATTCTTCTTGAAATAAATATTGTACCAGTGCATTGAATCAGGTTTCACACGGACACTACAAGTGGAATTTCGTAGTTTATTAGCATCTCATTGAATTGTTCTTTTCAGACAAGAGTGTAGACACACGTATCCTATTTATCACTTAACATGCTTTGCTAGTTTTAGTCTGTTAAAAACAACATATGTGTTATATGATACAATGCTTACTCCATGTTTTATAGTTGATTTTACAAGCCCGATCAATGTCAAAAACTAAATTTTATAACAGTATAATAATTGGTCTTATTTTAATCAGAAAAATGTTAATAAAGTCTCCAGAGATAAAAAGATTTCGTTGTTCTGAAGGTACTTTTCCTGCAAATGGAATCAAAAGACAATTTCACAGATTTCATTACTCATAAGTACATGCTACTTGATTAATAATAAACGTAATTTAATAACAATCTAGAAATAAAGAAGTTACATTTAAAAAGTAAAAAACCCAAGTGGCGAGTTACTGTAACTGGCCTCTCCGATTAACAGATTAAGTCCGCCATCTTTTTGAAGAATTTCAATCAGATGTTCTTGTAATTGATTGTTTCATTATTATATTTTATTATATTAATTATTTCATTATTATATTATATACTTTGAAGTTTGAAGTGGATAATATATTGAATATATTTGGTATTAAACTTCGAAGAAATGCCAGAATTAATAATCTCATTCTTTTGTGGCATAGAGCTTCCTCTTCAATCGACGCGATTGTCTCCTCGATAACACGGAGCATCAGAAACATTCGAATCGGATAGATCGAAATATCATTTTTTCGATCTATCTAGACCCGCGCTTACCATTACCACCCCATTTAGCAAATTAACAGAAATCGTCGAGGAGCAGAGTTAAGCCGCTTCTATTCCTATTTTCAGTTCATTGTTCCCGATTGTAAAGACTGGCGCGCTAAAACGTTCCCGAGGAACAATGAAGGAGAGAAGCACACGATCCCAGCAACCATTGTCCAACGATTCACCGCGTGAATTTCTCACGTTTTGCAGGTACTACCGGGAAGAAACAACCTCGGCCACGCGATCACCGGCTTCCTGTTCGCCGCTCATCCGATTCACAGCGAGGCAGTGGCCGGTGTGGTCGGTCGTGCGGACCTTCTCGCCTGTTTGTTGACTTTGACGGCGTTCCTCGCGTACAGTGCCCACTGCGAGCGCACCAGATCACCGTTCCCTTTGCTTCTGGCCCTCGTGTCGTCCACCCTGGCCACGCTCGCCAAAGAAACTGGAATTTCTTCGCTGGCACTGTGTCTCCTTTGGGAATTGTGTCGCGGCGAGTCGAGTCGAAAGGTAAGAAGTCGCGAGAAATTTCTTCGGGGAACTTCGCTTTGCGCAGTAGATTCGCAATTTTGCGCCAAGTGGTTTAACCCTTGTGGACGAGTGCTTTGTCGACTCTGATTCTTGGCGAAGGTTTCTTTTTTTTTATCTGAAATGAGATTGTACGACGATGGACTAGAAATTAGGGATAAATGAGAATGTGTATCGCTTTGTGAAAATTTTATTAATAATGAAATTGAACGTGTTTCTTGCTTTACGCGAATTGTTCTTGTTTTTTTTTTTTTTTTTTTTTTTTAATATCTAAATAGAATCTATCGACACTAAAACGAGTTTTAAAGGAAATATTTATTTTACATATATTTATGAGAAGAAGGTAATAATGAAAATTCTAGAAAATTAAACTAAATTTTATTTATTATCGACATTGGTACTATAATCTAAATAAAAAAGATTGAACGATATTATTAGTATATATAAAAGTTAGAGTGATATTATGCGTAAATTCAATAAAGATATATGAGTCATTCATATGTAAAGTAGCATAAGTCATTACAGTAATGGAAGATGACGATTAACGTCTGTGCGCAATTATTTATATATCGAGAAAAATATAAATATCCGAGATAACACATACAGGTAAATCTTCTCGAAAGTTAGCATTAAATTTTAAATATCTCGATTTAAAGTGACTTTTTCAAAATAAATGGCTCATACTTTCTTCCGTGCCTGCAAAGAAAAATTATTTGTTGTACAAATCAAGGAGTATATTATAATATAATTTAATTCTTATGTTTTTCCAAAGTATATTTTTGAAAGCGATCTATTCAATATCTGTATAGTTTGAAAAACAATTCGACTTGAGAAGAACAAAATCAAGAAGCCCGTACATTCATCCTCAAAGGGTTAACATGGTACAAACTGCACACACAAGATGGTGGGAATTATTTATCGATAATTCATTAGGGTGAGGGAAGAGAGGGAACAGTGTATCGATCGAGGATTGGTAATACGTTAAGAGTAGGTCGCGCTGATGAGGTGCACATTCGGTAGGATGTTGTAATTGACGTACCGTGTGTTTACGATGTACGCGTTGTTCACGGAGGATGTCATGTTTAGAACAAAATTCTATTACTTACATATTGGGAAACATCGACAACATTGTTGACGAGCCAACGTTCGAAACAGAATTTGTTCGTTGGATGAAAGAAAGAGTTCAGAATACTTAGCTTTCTGTTTCAAGTACAATGCTTAAATAGATTCTACAGTCTTTTCCAGAGGTTCTAAAATTTCATTGTTGTACCTTTCATTCAGTATTTTTACTCTTTTAAAGATAAATTCAGGTTGAACATTAACACATACCGTGCGAGGTCGATACATGTACTGATATTATTATTTTTTAAAGTTATTTCTCATTAAATTAATAATTTTAACATTAAATAATATCTATTTTGAAACACAATTAAACAAGACAACAAAAAATTTAAAAAGTTTTCGCTACTGGAAACGGAATTGTAAAAATCCATATAAAATATTCAAATGTTTCTTATTAACCATGAGTAAAGGTTAATCATTTTCTTCGTTATATTAAATATAATTATAAATAGATTTATCATGATAAAGCATGATAGAACAGATAGTGCTCAAAAAAGTTAACAAAGTGTTTAATTAGTACATTATTTTAATAGTATATATTATTTTCATATATACTGTTAAATTATTTATACATATATATATATATATTTATATATATATATATTTTTGATAGTATATTAAATATTATTCGAATGTTAAATGAATAATGCAGAATAATGATAAAAAACAAAACTGACTTCCATAACGCTTCTAATTGTACTACTACTTCTTAAATGTGTACAAATATATTTCTTGAAACTTCCTCTTCATCAATATATGTATTAAAAATGGAAATCTTTATCTATGATATCATCATGTATACGTATATGCATGAGAATGAATAACTCGTTGAACATGAAACTTTCATGTTGCAAAAAACTATGAATTATTTAATAACCAATACATTGAATTTGTCATTCAAACTACATACGCTTTGTCCATTAACTCTCCATTTTAACTTTTTTTTTTTTTCTAAACGACGAATCTGTAGAGTCTATCAATACGCGATCTGAACTTGCCTCCAGATACACCTCTGGCCGGTGGTCGGTGCCAAGTTTCCCTTTTACGACTCAATTCCGTGCGACTTACGACCTCGTGGTGCAACGACCACGTTTTAACTACCGCTAACTGCCCCTGGATATATACAGACTGGCCATGAGATCCTGCCTATCAGATTTCGAGTGCCGTGATTTTTCCCTGGCACGCGTCTCTTTCCTCGAGGAACGGAGAGCAGAGCCGCCATCGCGGTCGCAACGCGTTTTGCAGGTGGTGCGACGCGAAGTTGCCCGCACCTCACATGCCCCGGACACATTATCGTAAATTAACGTTTCGAAAGCTGCATTACGCCGGATTGCGGCGGGCAGGAGGATCCGCCTGCCATTACGAATATTAACAACTGAAAATGGACCGGTCTACCGACCGGTAGAACGACGTAATCAAATTACCGCTGACGAGCGAAAGTAGGTGAGCCACGGAGACGAGGAGGTTGGAACCGCGCGCGGATTATTCCAGCCTGCTGGCGTCAACCGATAACGGCGTGCAATTACACCACTCTATATAATTATCCGTGAACGCGCCAGTACGACGCTAATCGTAAGCAACTGGCGTGACATCGAATTCGTCCCGTACTGAGTATCGTGTCTGCTAACCCTTTCAGTTTCAGTGGATCGTGCACGCCTCGCGGAAAATGCAAAGCGTCTTACTGCTAGCGAGGAATTCAGCTTCTGGCTACTGCCAGATTGGGACCGTTCTCAACGTTCTCGTAGGATTTTAATAAAATCGAGTAGTTTCGATTGAATTTAACAGTCGATTTCATTGATTATTAAAATATACAATGCACGAGTGTAAACTAGACTTCTCTTTGTTTCTATTATGGAACATGCACTTTTTTTGTTAATATTCCATGTCTCATCTTTCTTTTCACGATGAGGGGTTAGTAGTTTAGAAACCTAACTGAAACATCCTCTTAAGCGTGTCTTATACTTAATATTCTACTTCCACTCGATGTTCAACAGCTCGTTGTGCATAATACTCAGTATCTGGTAATAAATAATAAAATATCGTGTGTAGCAATATTTTAATTATTACTCCGCGTGTGTATAATGCTTTGATTTAATATTATCGTTAATAAAAGTTGTAATTAAATTTCCTTCAAATCTTTCAATTTTGCTAAAAACATGTTTGAAACGGAAATTGTGGGTGGTATTAATTGAATGGCCAGGGGCTACGAATATTAAATTCCGTTCGGCTGATATTCCAGTGGCATGTTGCTTGGTTAATCTTGCTGCGTCCTTTCAGTAATTTTCAATTCATTTCTATAAAATTGAAAAATATCTCAAGTTTAAACGAAATATTAAAAAATTCTTGTTACAATGCACGAGATTAAATTCTTTGTTAAACTTTTTTCTAAATATTGTAAATCCATTTTATTCGCTGAATTGAACTGTAAGATTGAAATATAAAAATTTAAGAAATATAAAAGTACAGAAATATAAAGATATGACGAATATAAGAGTTGAAAAATTTTATCGAAAAGTGCATCGGCTGCACAATCTAGCTTGCTATAATTAAATCTTTAACTACCGATGGATTTACATAAGTGAACAATCTAGACATAGTTTTATAATAATATTCTTAGAATAAAGATAAAATCTTAATGGCCCCACAGTATGTTCATTAAATAGTTTTTATGAGTATCTACTTGCTGATCATATTTTTCAAACAGTCAGACGTTATATCATCTCGATCTGATGGAATTATATTATTCTACGCAATGCTAGGATCACGAAAAACATAATACACAGCAACGATCTAAAATAATTTATCTTTCATACAACATGATGATTATTTGGAATAAAATATTATTTGGAATAAAATATTCTGAAAATGATTATTTAAATAACATATTATTTAAATATCATCTTATTTGACTAGATGGTTAAACTGAGAGAATCCAACGTTAATTTATTTGAACAAGCAAATAATATTTCTAAATTATTTTATTATTTGACTGTCAAATAAAATAACCTTTCATTTCATTTTATACTTTACATTTGTTTCTACAAATACATCTCGAATAATTTCTGATTCTTTTATATTAACTTCGCCATCCGCCGAGATTATTTGTCGTCGAATTAACTCGAATGAAAAATTATTCTCAATACCTTATTTGATTTAGACTCATTCCTCTTATATTATTCTTCAAATAAAAATAATAAATTAATGGAAATAATTCATTATCTCAAATTATTATTCTGCATCTTCGTTTCAAATAAAATTTGCCCAAGTTCAATCCTTAATTTCGGCCCAAGATAAAGTTACTTTCCCTATATTATTTCAAATAAAAATAACAAATTGTAGTAATAATAGAAGTAATCCATCATCTCGAATTATTATTTTTCATCCTCGCGTTTCATACAAAATTTTCCCAATTTTTGATCTTCAATTTCGATCCAAAATAAAATTATTTCCCCTGATAAATACTAAGTTGGTTGAAATAATTCATTATCTCAAATTATTATTTTTCACCCTCGTTTCAAATAATTAATTTACCAAAATACCGGTCCTTAATTTCAACTGAAAAACAAGTTACGTCCCCAGAAATCAACATTATCCTTTCTTATTCCACATAAAATTTCTCCAACCCTCGATCGCGTCTAACGAACACAGTTCACTACTCAAAGTCATACACGTATACTGAACTGTTCAGTTTGCGCAAGGATCCACGACGCGGCAATGCTCATCGTAGATATTAATGCGTACTTACGAGCACGTGTGTCAAAGGCGTACGATAACAAGGGATCCTCGGGCTTGGTTTCTTGAATCGGAGAGACACACGTGTGTCTTATCTCTAAGGGGAACCACCATAAGCGACTGTA